GATGCTGTGTGAATATAGAGATTTAATGTTTTTTTCAAAGATTCTATTTTTGGTTAAAGAAGCAGTTTATTGTGCCTTTACCCAAGGATCCTCTATTGGCATGTTTCTCAACTCTTAACATCTCCTATCTATTATGAGTCTATGACTAACGATGACTTTTTCTTTCAATATCTTGTTTCACAATTGTTTCAACAAAATTTGCATTACCTAAGCCTTTTTTCTTTCAATATCATGAACCCTCTTAAATAGAATGCACATTTCCATTTCCTTCAATATTTCTTATGTAGTAGAAGTCAATTACGTTTCAGCCAATCATTTTTTGTGTCAACCATAACTCAGAAATTAGTCCGAATAGCAAAATAAAACTGAGAGATACATACATAAGTGAACTCAACAATCCTAGATTTTAGGACTACAAATCAAACAATTAACCATGGTTTGGGCCCAGGGCCGGACTATATTAAAACGATACATCAAAAGAGCTATGCAATGAGCTTGGTGAGCGACAATATTCAGCTCTGAGTGTAAGGGAAAGACGATTCCTCTTTTGTATCTAGCTCATAAGAATACTCGTATTTAGTTGAGAAAATGGTAATAGTCCAAGAAACGTCAACCATTCATGCTCGAACCCTAGCTAAGTTACAAACAAATCACTACAATAAATCATCTCTTAAGGTCCTAAGTGGATGCCTCAAAATTACACAGATAAACACAGTTCTGATTAGTAAACAAAAAAACTCATTAGTTTCTTATGAAGCGTTGAATTCTACGGCCTAAAGCAAGGAAATATCTCATGCGTGAAGATAAAGTAATAACATGGCTATCCATTTATTCACATTGTTCAATTATAATTAACCGTAAACAAAAAAAAATATAACTAGTTAACATCGAAATCCTAATTAACTCTAAGACATTTCCTGCTCCATGCTCAAATATAAATAACGTTAAAACAAAAAAAAAAAATAACATGGCTTTCCTTGTGTTTGCTGATGATCTTCACAGATGGAAGTCTCCAATCGATCACTAGCATTCTAGAGATTTTGAAGGATTTTGGATCGAGATCAAGGCGGACTAAGTATCCAAAAGACCTACATGTATTGATCAAGTAAAACTAGCCTCTAATTAGGAACACTTTCTATCTGTTATTTGGGTGTTCCACTTTGTACTAAGAAAATAATTTTTCTACAATGTGTTGTTCCTATTTCATTCAATCAAAGGAAAGCTCCATTTTTGGACTATCTAAAATTTTTTGTTGGTAGGCTCCAATTGTTATGAACTGTCATATCATGGGCAACCAACTTCTAGTCCAACACCTTCATCACTTCCAAGTAATGCATAAATTCTTTGTACTCCAAGTTTCAATGGAAAGGAAAAAAACAGAAGGGCCAGCATCGGCAAAATTAAAATTTCATAAGAAATGTTAACTCTGAGTAACGAAGGAAGGTTGAAGATCATGAACTTATCTTTGAGGAACTCAGCTTATGCGATCAAGTTGATATATTTGTTGTTCTTCCATCAGGATTATGATAGTAGATGATAGTAGATGATGGTTGTTGGCGGTGATAAAAATAGTGTGGTGACAGTTATGAATGATGGTAAAAATAACATTTTGGTGGTATTGATTATGATATGAT